CGAAGAGGGCGGATGTGCGTCTAAAAATGTGCACCTGAGCTGACACTCCTGCGGACGCGTAGTGTACTTGAACTGTTGAATGTCTGTCCACCTACTAGTTATTTTTTTTTTACTATTATCTTTCGCTAAAAACTTTCAGGGGGACAGCGCACCACATGTTATAGTTGAAAGTACTTGAAAGATTGCGATGCAGAATAAGATGTGCAAATTTTTACGGCATGTTCTCACTGCATCTTGTTTAATCAACAATAATTGTTGGTATTTCACACCCCTAACCCACAAAACGATTATGAAATATGCCTTAAAGGGGTGGTGCCACCATATTTGTGGTTTGCGCGCTCTTTACTGCAAGCATTTCTTATAGCTCCAGGAAGCTTGATACATGTACCAATGTTTTGTCGTCTGCACTAATGATCTTACATGTATTGCCGCCTATGCAGAGGTCAGGGAATTTCACTTGAAGTTGTCAGGGAAAACCTGGAAAAGTCAGGGAATCTTAAAATAATAATTTGCTAGACACCCTGATCCCACCGCTTTCTCCACTTTGAGGAAACAGGTACTTCAGTGTCCTGCCGTTTCCTACTAGGACTGGGGTTGCAGGGCAGGTAAGAAGGCGTGTGGCTCTCGAGCTCGAAGCAGTCATGAGGACGAGTTCAAGACAGGAAAACGCTTTATGTGGTGTATTTACGTGTTGGCGGTCTGAACTCAAAGAACAGGCGGGGCGCTCTTCAGAGCGCCCAATTAAATGGGAACAGCAGGGTCCACCCCCACCTCCTCGACTCCACATGGTGGCAAAAGTCTACCAATCCAGCTTCACTTGTTGGTACATAATGATGACCACTCCCGAACGTCCAAGGGACAATGCCCGGCGTCGACGTAGGACCACGTGGTGGGTCATAGGCTTCTTCCGTTGTTCCTGCTTTGGAGTCGACTGGCTTGCTCTTAGTTCCAGGCGCATGAGGACGGGGCGAGTCCTAGTCTGACGAGTTCAGCATGATGCCGAACAGGCAGCACTTTATTGTTCACACCACTTAGAGATGTTACTTTGCGGGTGTCACAACCTGCTTAGGAATGTCGCTCTGCGTAGAACGACCGTCATCGGTGGCCGGCAAGGTAGCGGCACAACTAGTAGGTGGCTTACTCGCACGTCTACATAAAGCTGTCACGCACGTGGTGCTCCGAGTATCGTCTGCTCTTGCACGCACATGCCACGCAAGCACCTACAAAACAAACGTGCCGACAGTTGCCATGACTAGCTACAGCAGCCGCTATGCTTTGATCATACCTACGTGGTAGAGGTCTGAAGCTCACTCGTCACTACAGATCTGCTGTGTCATCCCTACAACTTTCCTTGCCCCTCCTGTAGAACTAGTATGTCAATGTTGGCATGCTAGCGATGGGTCCTGATTCGGAGAATGAGCATTTTAGGTACACTTCTGGAAAAAAATTAAAGGTTATTATGAACATTTGCTGTGTCTCACCCTTTGTGTGGAGTGTCCTTGCGTACCGTAATTACTCGAATCTAACGCGCACCTTTTTTTCGGGTAAGCGAGTTCATAAATCGCATGCGCATTAGAATCGACTACGAAAAAAAAAAGATGAATATGGTCATTCTATTGCCATCGGCATTTCTAAAATGGCCGTTCCTTACGTGCATCGGTATGGCGCGTCGGCCATTTCTGCCTATGTGTTTCCCATGTGCGGCACTTCGTACGTGTTTTGAGGAGTTCGTGATGTTGTAGTGAATCAGCATCGACGGCATGGAACGACCGACTCCTAAAGCTCAAGGAGTGCACCACGATGCCGCTTTTAAAAGAAGAGTCATCACGTGTGCCGAAATGGACGGAAATCGGGCCGGATCGCGGTCGTTCGGAGTTCCCGAAATGTGCGTGCGGGACTGGCGGAAATAAAAGCAGAAGATTGTCGACAGCAAAGATAAAGGCTTCAGTGAACCGCAGCAGGATCGGTTTTCGCAAATTGAAGAGCTGCTCGGCGAGTATGTGATTGAGCAGTGAGCGGCACAGCGGCCTGTGGCGACAGAACTGCTCCATGTGCAGGCTATGCAGTTAGCCTTAGAAAAAGGGCCAATGCGGAGCCAGTTTAAAGCGAGCAGGTGCTGGATAACTAACTTTATGAAGAGGAAAAACTTTTCCCTCCCAAGGCGAACGGGCATATGCGAAAAGTTTCCGGAAGAGTACGATGAAAAGCTTCACAGTTTTTAGAGGTTCGTCCTAAACTTGCAGCACAACAACGGCTACCTGCTTGGCGAATCGGGAATGCCCATCAGACGCCTCTTTACTTCGACATGCCTGGCACCACAACCGTCGAGAAAAATGGGGCGAAGCAAGTTGGCATGCTGACATCGGGCCACGGTAAAACTAGAGTGACTGGCAATGCTCCGTTGCACATCAGATAGGCACAAGCTTCCCCCGTACCTCATATTTAAATGGAAGATGCTCCCAAAAGGAGTCGTTTCCCCGAGGGGTGTGATCGTGCGGGCCAACGAGAAAAATGGGTGCGCGTTGCGATCGATGTCTTACTTTTTTTTTTTGTGTCGTGAAAACCGGGTGCGCGTTGCAATCGAGGGTGCGGTAGAATCTAGTAAATACAGTGCATGCATACAGAGGAAAACCACAACAGGCTTGTTATAGCCTCGAAATTTAATCGCACCACCCCTTTAAGGGAGATGATACTCGAAGACACCTTATTTTATGATTTGCCCTAGTGCTATGAAACTTGAGCTGTTATTAAAACTTTTTATCTTGATCTCAAATATATAATTTGTTTCCTTGCAAGCTGCATACTTTTGTTTCTGCAACACAACAAAGTAAAAACGTTAAGCCTTTGGACCCCCCTTTTTTCATCAATAAACTTCCATAAATTTTCATCATCTATAGTTTCTAATGTTTGAAATGAAATGTAGAATGCAGAAAACCAATAAGAAAATGCATACAAAATATGTAGTAGGCATGAAAAGTAATAGACGTGACAAAGTCTATATTTCTCCTACTTTGGTAAAGGTTTACATAGAATATTTATTATATAATAAAAATATTGAAATTTAAACAAGATAATTACAATGCTCATACTTCAGAAAAAAATTTGGCACTATTTTACGCAGATCTAAGCACCCGAAGTACCTGGAAAAGGAGGGGCATAATGAAAAAAATGGCAAAATGTGTGTTTTGGGAAAAACTAGTTTGAAAGTTAAAATTGAATGTTTATTTATAAAGATGTCATTAAATAAATGCAATGAAATTAGCACACCAAGAGAAGCAATCCTTATTGTAGAGGCCATTGCCACTAAAATGCACCAGCACCATAAGTTTGTCCCTCGCGGCTTTTTTGAGCCGACTCCTCACAGACACATTGCTCACAGACAGGGCCATGAAACGCTTGCCAAACTTCATCCGCTCCATCTGGCTGAGCCTTGTGCCATCTGCAAGCTAGGGAGAAGTTTGACAGGACTTCGAAATCTGAACAAAGTTCATTGTCGAGGGACACAACAGTGCCGATGCCATTGTGGCTCTTGTGGCTGCGTTTGTGCCATGTACTATTGTACGTAATGGCAAAGTCGCCCCCATTAACTTCTCTCAATGTGAGCTGTCTCGACCTCGCAAGGTTGGCGCAGATGGCATCCGTTGCCACATCACGGACTTTCCGGCTAATGGCTGTGAATGACTTGCGATGCATTGGCTTTTGCAAGCCAAGAAGTGCCGCGAATCGGATCAACTGCTCGTAGCCCATTCCTACAGAGCAGGCCACCACAACAGCTTTCACATTGACAGCGCAGCTATTGCGAGAGCTATGGCTTTCTGATAGTAGGGCCGCACATTATCAGTGGCAAGGTGCTCGAAGACCACCTTATGCTCTTTAGATGCAATTTTGAAGCATTTACAGTTGAGTGACGACATGGATTTTTTTTTTTTCAGGACAGTATGGGCCAGCATATTGGCCTGCAGTATCGATAAATAAATAAATAAATAAAAAGTAAAGGTACGAATCTTATCAAAAGAGATGGAAATAAAAAATCTGTATTTTTTTTTTAGAAAAGTTGCGTTTTTCGACTCTCATCTGCCTTTAACGTGTCGTAACAAATGCCAAATTGTGGGCACTCTCTGGCTCATCTCTTTATTTGCATCTACATTGAACTTCTGCTCACGGCAAGTACTGCTCTTTACCTACAGCTCAAGGCGCCGCCAACACTGACACCGAGATATCTGTGAAACGAGCTCTTTGACAGTATTGCGTAAAAATTGTACATGTTTTGCGACTATGTTTTTATTGTTCTGTTAATGAGCTGTTTACATCGTTTCAGCACCTTTCCAGCTGGTGTTGTAGTGTGTCAAAAAAAAAAATGCAGATGTCTTGTGCACCAAATTGGTGCCCTTCTGGGTATTGTAGCACCTTAGTTTTCCCCAACTTAATGCCTTTCCTCAGAGTATTGTAGCACACGAGGGTTTTTCAAGTTAACAACCTTTTTTTTTGGGGGGGGGGGGTATGGTTTTTTATAACACCCTTTTTTTGGGTGTTGTAGTTCACAAAGTTTCTCTGAGTAAACGCTTTTTTTTTTTGGGGGGGGGGGGAAGCTATTGTACCACACTTAGTTTACCATATTTAGCACCCCTCTTTTTTTTGGGTGTTGTAGCTCACGAGGTTTCTCCACATGGAGCAGAAGTTTGGGTAAAACTTGTTCTTGGGCTAGTTGGTGCATGTTACAAGAAAATTAGACGACGCAAACCACCGGGGAAGAATAGGCGAAAGGAAAGAGCGTCAAATCGGGGAGAGATGGAGCATAAGTTAGGGCTCACTATAGAAGGAATATACTTTAGTAAATGTTGTTGTTGGGCTAGTTGATGCATGCTACAAGAAGTTGATGCATGTTAAAAGAAATAACACTCTTTCCTTTTGCCCATTTTTTCCCGGTGGTTTGTCTCATCTAATTTTTTTGTAGCAGAAGTGTGCCACATCTAAGAGTAGTATGACTACTTTCGCTGCAGTGTCGGGAGGTCGTCGAGATTCTCGTTTCTGGAGTTCAGCCTCTGCAGAGCATCGGCCTGATCCCTCTCCTCGGCAAGGCGGAATGGAAGAAGTGGGCCGACCACAACATCGCCCGTGGTTTTGCTGGTGAGTTTGTGAAACCGCAAGCTGACTTGGGAAACCGGGATGAGTGGTCATATGTTATACGCATGAGCAGCATGTTCTGACAATCTGAAGACTTATTTGATTACAAGAGTCCCACTGGGAAATACAAAAAAAAAAAGAAAATCCATATCCATAAAAATGTCTCCAGACCGATTTGACAACGGAAGATCTTATGCGGCAATACAAAAAATGGTCAAGAAAAAACGGAAAAGGGCGTTGCTCATAACAGCGAAAGAAGAAACATTTAGGAGGTGTAGGTCCGCTCTTTGAGGCGGCCAGACGATGTCACATTGCCGGAGAGCGAATTCATGCTGGCAATGTCTTGCGGCAGAAAAGAGAATTGCCACCGTTTCGGTTTTTGAGTGAACCAACCGCGCGCGTCGCTCACGTCCCGCCACAGTCACGGAGCAGAGTACGTTCGGCCATGTTTGGCCGATAGCTTCGGCTTTTTTTTTTTTTTTCGTGGTTGTGGCTCAAAGCCACAACCACGAAAACAACGTCTCTGTCGTGAAATGTCTCTGTCGGAGGATGTTATTTTTGTATTTCGTGAGATATTAGCTGGACGCCTGCGGACGTCCGTTCTGATGCGAGTTGCCTTTCTTGAATATTTCTTCTTTAGAGCTTGTAACTAACTTTATTCCCAGAACAGCAGTGACATATGCTGTCGTAGCCATCGTGCACCTGCTCATCACCTCTCATGATTGTCTAAATATGATGTACCAACTGATGTCGGTGTACCAACTAACCCAAGAATGAATTTTACCAAGATTCTTTACAGGTATCTGATAACTCCATGTGCACAGCATATTGAGCTTTGCTGCATTTTTTTCATCTTCGAAATCGGGGAAAATGCGTACACTTCAGGGATGGACTGAGAATTGTCCTTCCTCAGTGATTTCATTCGAGTTTGTGGAACGTGAAATGGTAACATAAGCTCAAAGGTTCTTCATCGATTTAGTTTGAGCTTACAGAACATAGAATCTAAAGTTATTCTCAAAGGCTCCTTAGTGGTTTTATTCGAGTTTATGGAACAAGCTTAAGCAATGGATATGTGAGCATTGACCTTTTTGTGTCTCGTTTCCTTGAATAGCACTTATCTCGCTACATGTGAAAATTTTTAAAAATCCTGCCGTAATGCTTTGTGAAAACCAACTGAGAAAGTGTAATTAAGCTAACAGGGAAAAGCAAGCACCCTGTCATTTGCCATCCAACTACCTCTGTGAGAAGACTGCGTGCATATGTATTTCACATATCATTCCGACTCGCAGCGCAAGTCGAATTGGAAGTACTCCAATAGTAACACTGAAAATTGCAAGTAGTATCGGGATAATTTGAAGGTACCGACAAGTGGCCAGTACGTGTGATTAGATCTAAGTACAAATGAAAATATCGTAAAATATAGTGACAGATTCCAGCATTTTTTGGGTTGCAAATAGGATTTTTAATTTTTGATAGCAACACAAATAACAAAAAACGTTATGTAACGCAGCCCACAGAGAAATCCTTGAAGCTGTATTATGGAATATAAAGTTGATAACTTTGCTGTACATAGTCGCCTAGTCTGATGCTGTCATGCTCGCCAGTCCTGAAAATTACAGTATGTATATTATTACCTAGTCCCGCTCAATTCCGTGCTGCTTAGGGCGTAAGAAGAGTTCTATGGTGAAAAGTGGCGCTGCCTTCGCGGCCACCAGTGGACCAAAACAAGCCGCAGCACACGTGTGCGGAGTGTACGCACACGCAGTAGACCACCGCACTTGAACATGAAAGGCTCTTGCCATTTACAGTATGCCAGTATATGATTTCGTATTCACTGCTGATAGAAAAATACTGATCACAAATGTTTCATGGCGGTTTACACCTTACCATTTCGTGATTGGACTCGCTCACCCATAAGCCTTCTATTGTGCTAAAAAAGTAGGCCCCACAAAAATTGGTCAGTGGTCCCTTTGATTGTTGTTCTTGCTTACAACACAACAATTAGGGCGGAGCAAAATTTTGGTAATGTTCTTTTCTAGCTATGAGGCCATTGAAAAGCATTCTAGAAAGAAATAAAGAAGGCTGTAAATACGACAGTTTTCACAGGAGAGTTATGTTTGGCATACCGAGACACTGGGATTGCTTTGTTGCACATAAGGGTATGTACACTCGGCCATCTCTCTCGAAAAATTGGTGCTTTTGGCCCTGTCAGAATGGTAATTGTATTTTAAACGTGATCAACATTCGTTTTGACTTGAGAAAAAGTTTGTCATGGTTAGCTGTTCCACGTAGCGTTCAGTGCCACGTAGTAAAAAAAAATACTTAGAAGGGAGCCTGCCTTCCGTCCACAAGTCAACTCATCAGACGCCACTCCCTCCTCGTGTGTCAAGCTTTCGATAGATTCCTGGCATGCCCAAGCTTCATTTTTATGGCTGGCCTTCAAGATTGTCACACGACGCCACCTCTCGTTTCTTTTTGCCCTCCATGTTTAGCGCTATGTGCGCCAATCGCATCTTTGTGTGCAGTGCAGTGGGCATAAATACATTCTCGCATTGCCAGCAGACTTTGGACTAAAAAAGCTACCTTTTTTCAATCATGTTTAAGAAGACATAAGACAGCTCGCACGATTCAAAAGATTTGAATTGCGTGAAGATAGCTTCTACAATAATTTTGGATGCTTGACCACATCGTGCGTGCGTGCTTCGGCGTGGATGACGTCATTACATTGAGGTGCCCCCATGGGAAAATGAGGCTTAATGAGGAACTATATTTAAAAAGATAGTACTCGACTCTTATTGAAGCTGCCAAAGTGGTCTTGGTCTGCTTGCTGTACTGGATCAATTTTTTGGACACGTACAGTACACTGGTCACAGGGTTAATATGGAAAATTGGGCAAATGCAAAAAATTGAACTGATCGCAATTATCGGTATCCAGTTTCGGGCCTTCACCCAAGCAAGCATCATGCGCCTGAGCTGGCAGCACTTCAAGACCTGAGAGTGCATGCAAGACTCTCTGTACTACTTTTTTTTCCGCTAATATGCTGCAATGTCTCTCGGTGTCTGTGCTGCTTTGTTGCCATACCAATTCATCGTTGGATGTTGCCATAATTGGAGGTTCGATTCTCAGTGGCAATGGCTGCACTATGATGAGGGGCGAAATGAAAGGACCCTCGCTTGAGGTAGGTATTAAGGAAAGCCAAGTTTTATAGCAATAATCTAGAACAATCCGCTATTGTGGTTAAATTTATGAACTGCACTTCGTTTTCTAGTTCTTTTCTTGTTTAATTTATTTCTGTTGAGCTTCAATCGTTTCTCTTTCCACATTTTGTTTTCCACGTGTTTTTCTATGTTGTAACCCATATTTCTTATTTATTTTGAAAAGGAGGTCCCATTTCAGTCTTTCACTTTGGGACCTGCTTTTGGAAAGTATCACTTTGTAACGTTTATATTAATTAAAGTAAAACTGATTCGGATTTTTCAAGGATGTATAGCTGGCTAGGCGATCAACTACGCAATCATTTGTGGTTAACAGCAAAACTAGGCATGTGTGAATATTCGAGCATTTTGAATATTTGCACTTGTTTCGGTGAGTGTAAATTATTCCAAATTTCGAAGTATTCAGAATGAACAAACAAGCCACGTCCAAGCTGCTTGTAAAGATGATTGCACTGCTTTTTAGATGTGCTGTGAAAACACCTGTATTGAAAAAGAAATTGCATTGTTGCAAAACCATACTTCAGTGTTAGCATCAACACTGACTCAACATAACAAGAATATGTTACCCTCACAACACAGAATCAACATAACAAGAATATGTTATCCTCACATGAATCCATTTTTTTTAATTTTTACAAGCTTGGTAAATAGACGCTATATGCTCCAAGTGTTGTAAAGTTTAAAGCGGAACGAATTTTATCATTTATCACTTGTACTTTAGTGAAATTCAAATTCTGTTATAGGGGTAATTTATTTTTCCACTTCACTTGAAATCCATTATCCAAAAGAATGACATGGTCCGCCGCGATGGAGCAATGGTCAGAATGCTCGGATGCTAACCCGAAGGTCGTGGGTTCGATACCGGCCGCACCGCTCCCGTTTCGATGGAGGCAAAGTGGTTGAGGCCAGTTTACTGTGCGATGTCAGTGCACCTTAAGAACACCAGATGGACAAAATTGTTGGAGCCCTTTTCTCATAATCATATAGTAGTTTTGTGTCGTAAAACCCCAGGTATTATTATTATTATTATTATTATTATTATTATTATTATTATTATTATTATTATTATTATTATTATTATTATTAAAGAATGGCAATCATGCATGTCTTGTTCCAATTAAAAAAATGTATTGTCAAGGTTTGTTAAGTCTTGACAAATGGGCTCATTTTCCTTTATATTGTGTGACGTCTTCTGTTCGAACACTTTGTTTCGAAATTATTTTACCAAATTAAAATTTGCATCGAACCTAGAATTTGCCACCTGCACACCCCAAACGGAACAGTAGCTTCATTTTGTTTGTGTCAAACTTTCCCTAAAAACAAACAAAATTTTCAGCTCTGGAAGCAATCTTTGTGGAGACGGCCGGCAAGTACTGCTTCGGTGACGAGGTGACCTTCGCGGATGCCTGCCTTGTGCCTCAAGTGAGCAACGCGTACGAATTCGGCGTCGACGTGACACCCTTCCCGACGGTGCGGCAGATTTACGAGGCGCTTCAGCAGCACCCGCTGGTCAAGAAAGCCGATGCATCGTGTCAGCCGGACACCCCTCCGACGGGAGTGCCCAACAGGCTCGCCTTTTTCAAGGGCCCGGGAGACCAGTAGTGCCTGAAGGACCGTGCATGTCGGAGTGTTTTGTTTCAATGAAGATATAAAGTAGCATTTGTAAGGTATTTCTGGCCTTCTCATTATTTCTGCTTTTTAAAACTTATCCTGGTCAATATTTTGTTTGTGCAGGTTATGGAGGAGAATTGCGGGGAAATCGAAACTGTGCTGAAGAGAACCCAGCTGATACATGAGTTGGGAACCCATTGAGAGCACTGCCGTATATGTTACTACATGTGAATCCATGGATGGCATGGGTTCACATTTGATCACAAGGATCACTGTTTGTTAGGCTTATGCGAATAGTTAATTTTAGGTTCGAAGCAAATCAGAAGCGAATAACACTTTTCGTCAGATAATTTTGAATCAAGTTAGAGTATCTATATGACACATATGGAAAAGTGGGCATATTTTTATGACCAACCTAACCTGCACAATATTTTTTTTCCTGTGCAAATGCTTTTTTTTTGTTCAAAGGAAGTCTAACCAGCTTTGAGTAGTAGTAAGATTTGACTTTCGATAGAATGCAAGTGATAACCTGTAAAATATGTCAGATTTAAAATTTTCTATACTTGGAGCATATAAGCTGATGTAGCAAGCTTTTGAACTTAAAAAAAAAAAGATTAATCTATTCAAGAGTGATATGTTTACTTAAAGGGACCCTGCAACACTTCTTCAAGTAGCCATGGACTGGATTCACAAAAGGAGCTTATAGCTTCACGAATTCACTGACGTGAAAAATTTTTAAATCTTTTTGGTTCACTGCAAGCTGCAATTGCATTCTTTCTTCTCTCGTCCCCGCGAAAGCACTGGAAGCTAAATAGGAAGGGATGGCGTCAGAGATTAAAATACATCACGTGTGTCTCGTGACTTTGAGCATGTTTTTTTCTTCTTTCCTTCATTACGTGGATTTTCAGTGCGATCGCATACAGATGCATGGATAAGTCACGGCCCCCGTTATGACCACTGCGCCATGCTCAAATCAGCCAATGGCTGATGCAATGGCTGTGTTGCTTAATTTTTGAGCTTGTAACGTAATTTGCCGAGAAAAGAGAGACCAATTTACAGCCGACTTTGAGAATTTATTGTGAATTGCAAGCCGCGTGCTGTGCAATAATACTTGGGTTACGTGTTCTCAGGAGCCTCGACTAGCGATCAACAGCGTTTTCTGACCAAGCTCAAAAAGTGTTGCAGGGCCCCTTAAACTTTGAAGAGATTCTTTGCGGCAAAGTGAATTTCTCCTGAGTAGGTGCTTTCATGTCTCACCATTTTTGCACTGCAGTGAAACGACTTTTACCGGGGGTTACGTGTCGATTAATATACATCTATTTGTTTATTGCGAATACTTCGAAATTTTAAATGATTTGAATTTGAGTTGAACTGAATTCGAATACGCTACTATTTGTTCGAACATTCGAGACATTTGAATATTCGCGCCCCGTCGCAGTGGTCTAGTGGCTAAGGTACTCGGCTGCTGACCCGCAGGGCGCGGGTTCGTATCCCGGCTGCGACGGCTGCATTTCCGATGGAGGCGGAAATGTTGTAGGCCCGTGTGCTCAGATTTGGGTGCACGTTAAAGAACCCCAGGTGGTCGAAATTTCCGGAGCCCTCTACTACGGCGTCTCTCATAATTATATGGTGGTTTTGGGACGTTAAACCCCACATATCAATCAATCAATCAATTTGAATATTCGCACAAGCCTACTGTTTGTGAACCCGTGTGCTTGCAAGCGGAGATGTCACACGTATGTCAGCGCCTGGGACAAATGTTGGGTGCACCTAGTGAAATCGTGAACCAGAGATGAACCTTGATCGATAATATTTCCTAAATGCCTCTGAAGAAACTTCAACTTGTAAGACAAATATATTGCCACACTTATTTTGTGCTTTATTGCGTCCTCCTTAACTGTTCTTGTCTTTCATGCTGCGTCAGTAAACGCCCAGGTATTCACGGTCAGTAGGTAACCGTTGATATGCTTACATTATTAGTGTTGCATTACCAGTGTTGCATTACCAGTGTTGCAAATGTCTCGAGGGAGGGACACCCCTTAGGGGTGTCGCTCCTCAGAACTTATTTTCCAAACACCAACGCTGAAGTCTATGCTAAGTGCAGAAATTAAGTACAAAAGCGAAAAGCCTTTTTCGTCTGAAAAGGTGCTGCAGAAGACTAGCTTTCTGGAATGCTACGGATCACTTCGAACATGCCTTACTGTCCATCAAGCTGGGTGTTGCTAACTAAAGAGAATCAACAATTCCTGATTGCTTACCATTACTTATAATTGTGTTGACGATTTGGTGAAAGCAATTGAAAGTAAAGGATGAATCTGATTGCTCTGCTAATATATTGTGCTCCTCAGAGCCATGAGAAGACCGAGGACAAATAGTAAAAGTTACAGTCTTAAAAAAAACAGCGACATGGCCACCATGGCGTAATGTGTGTCCCCTCCTTTTGATCTTTCTGGATTTACACCATCCTTTGTTGTGAAGTGTGGCAGGACATCACTATCGGCACAGTCACTCTCTGTCGGTGCAGTCCTCCGGCCTTCTAGCACTGCGGGTGCTCATCAACCCATGCGCAAACTGTGACCAGGTGCAACGTCATCAAGCATTGCAGTGACTACGCATGTGCAAGCCTGCCCTGCCTCTGTACAAATACACCGGCATCATGCAATAAAGCTCTTTTATTTTCCTGCTGCTCGACTGTCCACATGGTGTCCAAAGTGGTTAGTTTGGTGGTTTGTTTGACACCACCGAAAGTCGGCAATGAATGAACCCACCAACCGGCTGTAAACGCCCGTCGCGAAAGTGGCGTCAACACTGCTGCCGCCACCGAGGCCACTAGGCTTGTCTGGGGACATGTTTTACAACTGTACTGCATGGAAACGAGAGTTCGACCTTTTGCTACGGCGACGGGACTGAGCCAGCAGTCTAAGGATGTTCAACCCGCAACCCTTTCGATGGCAACAGGCAAAGACACGAAAAGAACGTTCTATACTTTCAAGTTCGACAGCGAAGACGATAAAAAAGACCTCAGAATTATTTCAGCAAAGTTCGAGGCGAATTTCAAGCCGCCTGAGAACCTCAGCTTTAACGAACTCCGATTTGGCTCCAGGGACCAACAAAAGAGAGAGTCGTTCCTAGCTGAAGCATTCACACGTCTTCCTAACCGGAAGGAGCTGAGAGAAGAATCACTGGATTTTCATGTACACGCTATCTCTTCTCTTCCAGTCTCTGATGGGCAACTGCAGAAAATACGAGAAGAAGTACTCAATGATGCAACGATGACCGAACTGTGCAGCTATTCAAGCACAGAATGGCCTGAGAGCAAGCTTGACGTGCCTGAAACCGCACGAGCGTATTGGAACTATCGCGACGAACTTCACGACGAAGATGGCCTTCTCGTAAGAAGTAACAAGTTGGTCATTCCACCGATAAAAAGGCAAGAAGTATTTCGTTTGCTTCACGTGGCACATAGGGGGGAAGAAAAGATGAAGGCAAGAGCCAAGGCAGTTATGTACTGGCCGAGCATGTCAGCGGATATTGCAGCTCTAGCGAAGGTGTGTCTACTTTGTCAAAAGTACAAGAGCAGGAACGCCAGGCTACCAATGCTTAGTCCCGATATGCCTACTTTGACGTGGCAAGTAGTAGGAATCGAGCTTTTCTACCACGAAGGTGATGAGTACCTCGTTGTGGTAGAGTTCTTTTTTTTTTTCGAGGTCAAGCAGATGCATCGAACTACGGCAGAAGCAGTGACAAACGTGTGCATGCAAATCTTCACCACGCATGGCATACCAGCAAAGATATGCAGCGATAATGGCCACCCCATTCTTCAATAGCGCATGCTTCCGTATTTTTTCAACGTAGCTGGGCATCACCGACGTGACTACCAGTCCGCATTACCCTCGCGGTAACGGCATGGCTGAAAGGGCTGTCCAAGAAGCAAAGAAACTACTGAAGAAGTGCTGGTTTGGAAAGCTGGAGTTCCTCAGCGGCCTGCTTGAATGGAGAAACATGCCAAGGGATGACCACCCAAAGTGACCCATCTAATGACTCATGGGTTGACAGACGAGGACCAAGCTGCCCGTACTAGACTGTCACCCAGAACTCCGAGCCGTGCTGACCGAAGTTGTCCGAAAGCGACTCGGCGAAATATGGCGAAAACAATGCATCTTCTACAACAGATCAACGTGGAATCTACCGGAAGTGCACAGTGGTTCCACAGTATTGGTTTACGATACAACAAACAAGACCTGGGCATCAGCAGTTTTCATTGGCCCGGCAAGTACACCACGCTCTTATATTGTGGCGACTGAGAACGGCCAGTATCTACGACGCACGAGAGAGCTCCTCAGGTCAACAAATGGGCAGGTTTTCTCATAGCAGCCAGAAAGCGTGACAGCGACTGCGCATTCCAGCCCGCAGCTAGGCACCACCGAGCAGCAAGCACCTCAAGAAGCGCTGCGTCGAAGCACAAAACTGCGAAGATCGCCACAACGCTATCCTCTCCCAGAGTGCCCAACAGAAACTGTTCCGCGGATGTAGTGCAAATTGAACTTTGAATTATTGCTTCAATATGCCTTCGTTTAGAAATTTTGTGTTCTGTTTTTCTTTTCTTTTTTTTCCCAAGGGAAGAAAAATGTGACCAAGTGCATCGTCATCAAGAATTGCAGTGACTACCCATGCTCAAGCCTGCCCTGCCTCTGTGCAAATACACCGGCATCATGCAATAAAGCTCTCTTTCCTTTCCTGCTGCTCGACTGTCCACACCCATGCATGGAACAGACATATGGCGGCCAGCCTTTGTGCCCTTGCATTCAGCGGCATAAACAACGAAATGTCTCGAGGAGGCGACCAGGGCTAGTGATTATTAATTTTACCCTGCTATCATACATGAATATATCAATCTAATAAAAGGCAAAAAAAATAATTGAGAACTTAATAAATTGAACTTTAAATAGTTTAGAAAGCTGATTGCATTTTGTAGAAGTCCCGGTAAAAAATGACGATGTACGGTTAATTGTACGACTCTTGGGAACCTGAATCATCTGACAGAGGTCCAGATGTGTTG